CGCAAGGAGACAGGGTGGGAGGCATCAGAGTACGGCTTACGCTTCCGTCATCTGCGAACGCCGCGCACGCATCGGCGAAAAAAGGGCTCTGAACCAACAAGCCCTGGTGTGCGGTGAGGATGGTCTCGGTCTCAGCACTCCCAACAATCAGAGTGACTACGGGGCTAGTCAAGTAATTCATAAACGAAGTGCGCGGTTCCGATTCGCCTCCTTCGGCAAAAGGGAGTATGGTGGTATCGTTGCCTGCGGCTTCGGCCTCCTCGCCCTCGCCCATGTCGACATCACCGCCGGGATGGGTCGGCTGCTCGCCCAGGGTTGCTTCGTTGTATTCCTCGGCCATTGTGGTGTAATCGATGGCAGAACGGCTACCGGGAGTTGTGCACACACATAGAACGAACTAGGAGGAATGAAAGGAATGTGGGACCCAACTGCTGGACTTCAACGATCCAACAGGCACGGACGACAGTTCTACGGTCTCCTGGGAGTCGCTAAACGAGCGCAAGCGTGCGAGAGCGGGCGTAAGAGTAGCCCTACACAATACAGAGGAGAGACAATGAATGAAGGGAAGCGGGGACGATTCTGATCCGTCGCAAATAGGAATGCTGGCCTCGAGGTTCAGATGGCGCAACACCAACGAAGGACGTGTGTTGGAGAGGCGAAAGGCAGCGATGAGGCGCAAACTCTGGTGGGCTGAAGGCTGAATTGACCAATGCTGTTTGTTGGGGTCGCACGCGTTGGCCGGACAAAAAGAGGTGGCTTGCGCAGCTCTCCGCTTCTTGATTGGTCCCAGCTCTTCGTGTCTCCTGTGACCCAGCTCTGGGCTCGGGGACTATCCGGCGGCTGTCCTGCGGCTGTTGGCACTCCAAGACACCACATGCGTGCCTCCTACCCTAGGTACGGAGTACTGGGTACCAGGTAGTATATTAGGTACTTGTAAAGATTGCTCTGCCGGGTTGGTTCGCTCCTCACGCCCGCCATAAAAAGAACAGCATGGTAAGATGGATCGCTGGATTACCCAGGCGGCATCATGATCGTCGCTCCAGAGGCTGATGCCTAGACACATAGGCAATAACGGGATGGCGTCGGTTTCGTCTATGGTCGGATTATGGATTATGAGCAGCGGAGGCGGGGCAGTGTAGAGGATGGTGGTGTACGGAGGACGGAGTCGAGGATGGCAGGAGTCTTTGCTCTCCTACAAGTACCTATATACCTACCTACCTACCTACGTACTCGGGCCTTAAAATAGCGGGGATGAACACACTCCGTGCGTACGCGTGCTGTGTACTTGCCTGTACCGCAGTACATATCGGTTTCGGATCCATACTATGTACACTATCTTGAAGCCACGATCTCGGTCTCCACAGCACGAGAGCCAAAATAGGTACTAGTAACAGGTACACTGGTAGAGACCAAATTCGAAGTTTCTGCTCTCAAAATATAACTGAACCTGTGTTAGCCTACATAGTAACTAGTACCTACACAATGAGTGTCACGTGCCTCGCCCCTGTTAGCCAGTAGTAAGTAAGTACTATGTACCTTATGTACGCTGCACAACGGGACTCTTCATCTTACTACCGCCAAATCTACCATCCCACCACAAATCGTACCGTTTTGCACCTAGATTATAGTGGCGTACTAGCCATAGACAGGCATAATAATGGTGCTTGTCCAAGTCCACCGAGGCATCTTCCATGAATCGTCATTCACGCGACAACATTAGGTTCCTTGGCTTCCTTGGCACGCTGCTTTTCTGCCATGAAATGGATCCGGACAATCCGCAACGTATCCATCCAGCCGACACCAGGTGCACTGTGGCGGGTACCTTCCCAGCCCGCCAAGCCGTCGGGGATTCCCAGGTACCTCATAATACATATACATAGTAAGGACCCACGTACCAGAGGCATTTCATTTCTCGCTCCCCTTTCCAATGCAAGGAAGCAGACCATCACAGAAAAAGAGACAATGCTAGCCGGCGCCAGGTTTTGCAAGTAGAGCTCGGATTCTTGGCATCTGTTATTGTCCGTCCCTCCTTTTGAATCGACTCCACCTCGGCACGGAGCACCCCTTCAAGTCGATTTTCGCATCTGTCGTTCTCTTCCCTCGCTTGCCGTTGTCGCGTGCTCTCTCCTTCAAGCAGCAACCGACCAACCAACGAGCCAACCAACGAGCCATCCAACCTCGGAGACGTTGTCCCTATTCCCTCCCCCGGGCCGGTTTACCTCTTCCTGCTCCTGTCTTTATGAACACGCCGCCGTAGACGCCTTCGCGGACAGCTGGAACGATGGAGCACGACAACGGAGGCCCGTCATGGCGAGACAGGGCCGAATGGAAGCAGCAGGTCTGGAGTCGATGGATGGAGCCGGTCGTGAGTCTGCCCCCGTCCCGACGACGCCGAGTGTCTGCGCACAGCACCGCCGACCAGTACTGATTGGACATGCCCAGGTCATCGTCGTCGTCCTTTTGACGGCCATGTACGTTACGCGGCGAAAGAACTACTCGATATTCCGCAGATCGCCCGACGAAAGCGCACGGTCCCTGCTCAGCCCGGAGTCCCAGAGGTCGTCGAGCAGCGACTGGGAACGGCCCGAGGATCTGGCCACTCTTCATCCCCCCAAGACCCGCCGTATCTTTGGCCGGTGGACCGTCCGGACTCCCAACTCCAGCCGATTCGCGCGACACCTGCACTCGAGAATCGTGCAGAAGTTCCCCTTCCTCGTTGAGATGTTTTACTGGGCCATCGCACTGGTCATCTATCGCGGGACGATACTGATCACAAGTCATTGGTACGGCGGCAGTCAGGGTTTGTGGGATATTGCCCAGGGCCACGGCACGTCGATTCTTGAATTCGAGGCGCGCATCACGGGTATGGGCAGTGTCACGAGTAACGCGCGTTGGGTGGAATGGAGAATACAGCAGTGGTTTTTGACTGGTGCCAGCATCGGCGACTGGAGAGGAAGTGCTCTGGCCTTCCTCAACCGAGCATACGCTCTCATCCATATCCCCGGAACGGCAGCGTACGACTTGATTCCACACCCCCCAATTTGTAAAGAACGATAGTAAACGCTAACTCGCCTTTAGATTCATTGCCTATTACTACGCTACCGCACCGACTCATCGCCGATTTTGCATAGCACGGCGCACTCTTTCGTTGTCCAACTTCGTCGCATTCTTCGTTTTCACCCTCTATCCGTGTATGCCTCCACGTCTTTTGCCCAAGGAGTACGGGTTTGTCGATACGGTCGAGGCTGAGGACGCGAGCAGTGTCTGGATGAAGGGAGACTATGTCAACGCACTCGCTGCCATGCCGAGTATGCATTTTGGATATGCGTTCGCCATCGGCTGTACGCTGGTCTACGAGAGTGGCTTCCTACGCCACCTCCACCCTCTCGGTAACGACGTCAACGATGACATCGAAATGAATGGGATTCTTAAGCAGGAGAGCGGAGACGTGCCTCGCTCGGTAGTGTCTCGCGTTATACTTCTCGTCTTGGGCATTTTCTATCCTGCCTTGATCCTACTAGCCATCATTTCAACCGCCAACCACTACGTTCTCGACGCCTTCGCTGGCGCTGCCGTGGTCGGCTTCTCATTCTGCTGCAATAGGTTCCTGCTCAACTTCCTCGTCATCGAAGATTGGCTGCTGTGGGCCTGGCGATTGGAGAAACCAGTACCTACGACTGGATATGCTGCGCATTCCAAGTAGGTGGGAAGAATTGACGTGCCCGTGAGCCTGATGTTGCATTGGTTCATGCCAAAACTTGACGAGTACAATACATAATACGAAACTACTTAATAAATGTAATTACGAATCTCATCCTCACTATTCCACATGGCCTTCAATCCTTCCTTCCTGAGCCTCCCGGTATGTCCCATATTGACATAAACCGTTTCATCGCTCTGAAGGGACACTATGCAGTCAGTACTCTCTACATCTGTGACTGAGCTCGGCTTTTTTGAGGCAGTTGTTTCGGCGACTGACTCACTACACGCTGTCATACACCAGTGCCGGATCGGCATGGGTTGGACTTTCTGAGGGTGGGTATAATGATTGGTGCTCGCCCACTAAGCACGAGGTACCGAACCAGGTGAAGATGAATAGCGGGTTGCAGTTTTTAATGTACTGTCTGTTCGACAAGGGCTCGATACTAGAAGAAAAAGAATAGGTACCTGTTTGGCGTATATGCTCTGTCTCCCCCTTTGTACAACTTCTAGCAGATATGTACAAGGCATGGGCCCATTGAATGCGCGCCTGCGAACCGTTGTATCATATAAGTCGGCACACGATACTCCCAATGTTCGATAGATGAGCTTCGCAGCATGTCGTTGGGTGTCTTTGACAGCGTCTACGGGGGACGGGTCAACACTCTACATTTCTGTTTTGTAATTACGATTTGAATTAAATGTCCTGAGTATTGGAGGTCCACATCGCACGCGATCAGCTCATCAAAGCGTGTCAGGTGTCACAAGACCCTCGCCGTAGAACAAAGAGCAAATGGGGGCGTGTGGACGTGGCTTGCGCAACAGCGACGAATTCCTGGGACTAGGTATGGCTAACTACCTAGCTCTCAGCGTTGAGCGTGAGGTGTATGTTCGCGTCAGCAGAGATATATATAAAAAAGTATAAAGATGTGTTCATTTAGTAAATCAATCGCGTTGCCGGTCAGTCCGTCCTGCCTCTGGTAGTTACCAGATGATTTTTCATGCGCAGCAAAGGATACATACATGTCGCTATGCATAATTATAAGTGAACGAAGTATACATATCAAAGTCAAAAGGTGAACTAACTATCTAATAAGTGTTGACAAGTACAGTTTGTTGCAGGTCGCATTTAAATCTTGCGTACCTAAAGTACTAACTAAATACGACTGGTGCATCATCTATGTCTATATCCTGTAGTCATGTTACCTCAGCCTCGAGATGTTGGTCCTACCTACATACAGCCTTTCCCCCTGCGGGAGGGAAGGCGTGCAAAAAAATGATCTAAATCATTATAGCGAAGCTGCACTGGCCGGGAATCGAACCCGAAGCCGAAGCATGGGAAGCTTCAATGTTACCATTACACCACCAGTGCGTGTTTAACGTTGGTTGTTGGGAGGAGGGGGTGGCAGACACAATAAAGTCGCCGCGAGATTGGTCTTGTTTGCAAAAGGGAAAGGAAAGGACGGACGTTCATGCAAAGTCTTTGTCGGTCGTCCTCATCCTATTTCTTCGCTTTGTTCTTTTCCCCTCTTTGAAGGGATATTTATTCCCTGCAGGTAAGATCCGGTTGTTGTCATTTTCAGGCTGACAAGGAGGTGTCGTGCAATTGGAGGAATGCGAACTTCTTTCTCGCTGGGGGGGTGCTCTGAGGTATACTGAAGCAGTACCTTTTGCCTATCAGTGTTGTCATGAGAGCGGTATTGAGAACATTACTGTAAAATCAACAAAATAACAGAGAAAACGCCATTAGAGGGGGTGGGGTTGAGCGGAAAGTATATGAGCTGTGTTTGACTCAGGTCCTTTTTTTGATACGTAAGAAATTCTAGCTTTCGGTCTATATGCCGCCATGCGAAACTGTTAGCTGCATGTCGCTCTACGCGAGAAGATTTGCTTTGCCTGTCTCCCGCAATACCCTCTGTACAGTTTTGAGAACCTCATCGTGAAGATCTTTCGGGGCCGCCACGAAGCCGTGGTTTGCGGCCAACTTACGTCCCACGGTCAGGTCAATGTCTTTTCCGTCTATATCCGTAATCTTGCCCCCGACCTCCTCGAAGAGTAGCATCGCGCCGGCGTGGTCCCATATTTTGCCGGTCCGCTCGCGCTTCTTGTAAACCCAGACTGTCATGTTCGCCAGACCCAGTCCGAGAGCTACCCAGCGAAGAACCCAAGCAAGAAAGTCGCAGCCCTTCGTAGTAATGCCAAGCCTAGCCATGATTGCTTCATGTGCATTGTCTACACCGGAGTCTAGCATATGGTAGCATGAGACAGCACGCAAGTCGGCAGTAGTCCCGTGTGTGGTATGTGGCTCGATTTTTCGAGGTACCACTTCACCGGACGTCTCAAAGAGCGGGCGCACATATGTGCCCCATCCTCTGGCGGCGAAGACGATAGAACCGAGGCCAGTCGGGTCAACAGTTGAGTTATCAACAGGCCCATCAGCATTCGCGGGTAGTGTTGGGCAGCCGACAACGCTAAGAACCTGCCTGCCATCTTGAAGGAGGGCGACGTTAATCGCGTAGGCTTCACGGCGGACGAAGGTCTTAGTCCCGTCAATCGGGTCGAAGACCCAGATTCGGCCTGACCCCGGCCCTCCAGGTTCTCCGTGCCCGCACTTGTCTATCATCTCGCACATCTGCTCTGGTGACTGCGGCAACTTGCAGAGGGAATTGGCTTCGTCATCCTGCAGTCGAAGGAGGAGTTCCCACACGCGGTTCTGGAGACTGGGGTTCTCCCGGAGCTCTGCGGCCGACTCTTCGCCGACGAACTTGTCGCCGGGGAAGACACTGTGGATGGTGGCCGTCAAGAGGGCTTGGATGGCGAAGTCGGCGATGGTGACCGGGCTCAGGTCATCTTTCTCGACGGTGCCCTTGTCGTCAAAGGACAACACCGACTGGCCGATCTTTGCTGCTGCCTGGACGCCGCGGATGGCTGTCCGCAGCTCCTGGAAATACGGACTATCCATAGCTGGAGGGCAACCTTCTGGATCTGAGATGTGAGATGTTAGGTAGAATGCCGTAAACACCACCCGTTTGTGTCAATGATTGTTAGGGTCTCGATTCACGTGATTGATCGATAAAGATAAACCAGCTTAATCGCTTTCTAACCAAAGTCGGAAATCGAATGATTAAATATTAAAATAATGATTTCTACAAACAAACATTGCTAAAATAAAACATATTTATTGTGTTAAAAACAATAATTGTGTAGAGAAAGGTTTTTTTTTTGGCTGGAATCTTCAAAGTAGGGGAGCAAAGAGGAGCATTCAAAAATAGGTCTACTCTGCTAGTCTTAGAACAGAGCGAGCTAGAGGTAGCTGTACCTTCTATAGTACGTCGGGTTTTTATTTTTATTTTTTATTTTATTTTTGCGATTATGGCGATGGATTATGTAAAGGGGGTATCACCCACTCCATTCGGTTTGCGCTGCATTATAGGTACGTTAGCGAGGGGGGCACAGATCTCATTTTTAAGCTTCACACACACACCTAATATTACTCAATGATGTAATACAATACGATGCCTACCCTCACGATCAATTAATTCCGCATGCGCTTACTATTGTATATCTATGGGCCATGGTAGCTAGTGCGGGTGACAGTACTTCTTAACATATAGCTAATTCGGTCAATGATTCACATACCACATAATAGTAACTACGGAGCAGTCATGTCAGAGTCTTGATCGTGTTTCTGATTTTGGTGGTGTCATGGTATAGTGCTGAAGTTCCGTTCTGTGACACGGCATCATACTTCGCTAGGTACGCCCCCTATCCTCCTTGATGATTACAGTGCTATGAATCCTCTTCAGCCCGTTATAGATAAAAATATGGGAGCATATCTTCTGTCCCAAGAGCCTGTTGTAGGAAGCAGACGTACCTGAGACGTTGACTGTCACACGTACACCAGTTACAGAAGCTGAATAGGCCGTGACACCCGATATTTCGGGTAGTTGAATAAGGTAACCAGAGGTCGGAGGTCCCAAGCGAAGGTCTTTGACACTAGCCCAAAGAGGAAATGTCTAGCGAAAGAAGTGAGGCTATTCAGAGTATTAGGACTGAGCCCAATACCCCTCGCAAGAGGCCAGGAGATAAATCCAGACAGGTCACCTTGACTCCATAGTTGATTATCATATGAATAGAAGACAAGCCCTTTATACGAGCCCTTGTTACATTGACAACTGCGTTTACGATAATTAATGAGTAATAGCAACATGATAACCATAGCCCAACTGCATATGCCTGAGTTCCACACTGAAGACGGACGCAAGGTACTCGACCAGCTGTTAGGCGCCCCGGATCTTGACGATGATGCGATCGCCGCATACTACGCCGGCTTTTGCGGCCGCACACGAGGCCTTTGTGCGTTCAGTCCTACGAGACTCTCAGAAGCAGTGGGTAACTACGTCTTCGGCTCGGCGTATGCGCCTTTCGATGCTCCAAGCCCAGACTACCGTGCGCCCGGTAAGTTCGCCTCGGTCGCAGCCGAGCTGTCGCACCCGCTCTCTCGCGGCTCCGTGCATATCACGAGCGCCAGACGAGAACACGCCAACACCAATAAAGGCGTGAGAATTGGCGCCCGTAATCTATCGCACCCACTTGACCTCGAAGTGCTTGCGCGCCAGGTCCGCTTCACGGAGGACCTCATCAGCCGCGCAGAGCCAATCACACGATACCTGAAGCCATACACTAAGAGGTTCACGAATCTACACATCACCAAGGACTACGTTCGTCGTACAGTGGATGGCGCTTACCACTACACTGGCACATGCTCCATGATGCTGCGTACCATGGGTGGCGTGGCGAACAATAAGCTGCGCATCTAGGGGTGATCTAACCTCCGCGTGTGTGATTCGAGTATCATACCGCTAGAGCCAACCGCAAACCCACAAGCAGTAGTCTATGGGGTTGCTGAGTTGGGCGCTAGCATCATCAAGGAAGACATGCATTGAGTGCACCCAACGCCTAGGGTTATAGCCTAAGAGAAGGAAGGGCTCGATAAGGGTTCGTTATCGGGCTCCTGGGCCGCTGGAAACCGCCGTATGTTATAGAAATAGATGTTGAGAATCACTGTCGGGCATATGGGCTAAATCGAATCAAGAGTACCCTTTTGACGCTCTTTGGGGCTTATATGTCGAGCCATGACGGGGGCACGAGAGGGTAACTACTAATGTTCATAAATGACTCTTATATTATCTAAAATTGCATCGTACATTCTGCAGCAACGTAATTCTCACTCTTGCTACGCAACGCTCTTTTCTAGAGTGCCCCTCGATACCCAATATCTAGTTGCACGTCCACGAATTCGATAGTTAACTTAGCCGCAGTGCCTGCGATAATTGTCTCGGCCTCGATAAGTAGACAAAAGGAAATAGGTGGAAACTTAGTAATTATTACTAGAAGAATAGATATGTTATAGTTCATAGCTCCTGTCCCGCCGGGGTTGATGAGCGTGTTCGGGAGTTCTCCATCTCAATTAACGGCCCCCTGAGCTAGGTTACAGGGAACTATGCACACACAAGGACTTGAAGCTACCGCAAGGCAAACGTGAGGAAAATAAATGAAGTGGCTTCCAAGTATGACCAGGTTTCATGCGGGTCACTGACTCTTCAGTAGAATATATTTGATAACGTTTGCGCTTTTCCTGGTTTTCTCCTTATAGGCTACGTAGCTCAAACCCCCCTGCCATTGCTTAGACTTTCCGTTGTACATGACGATGGAGCATTTCCTGGGTGATTCGCACCCTGGTTTCAATGTTTTCTAAAGGGATTTTCGCAGAAATAAACTAACGGAAAGGGCGCGGTGTATACCTACACAAGCGGAAGAGTTGGATGTAATAGAATGAGTAGTTGAATAGGCCTAGTGAAGGTCATGGACATAGGGCCCAGAAGGGTAATGCTTAGCTAGGGCAGATGAGGCTACACGGACAATTACGCTCAGCGAAGTCGCTTTTAGATTCATGGAAATGAAGGAGACCTGTAGATGCTATCTTGACACTATATTAGATTATCACGTTAAATGGAAGACCCCATTTCCAAGTGCCTGATCACAAGCCCTCGGTACATTCAGTAGTTCGACGGTTACTTAGCCCTTGTCAGTCGCCGATAGTCATCGATGCGGTCAACGACCCAGATCTAAGGATCTGCATGATATGCTTTCGTCTGGCATGACAAGGACACTGGAGCTGTCTGCGAAGGAGAATTTCCACCAATCGCCCGTTGATCTTCGGAACCGCACAATCTCGGCCTAGCTCAAGCATTGTTCAACTTCCTCATTCATCTTACATGGTCAGCCAAACAGACCCCCTCGTCAGGGTGATATTTGCACACACAAAAAAGAGGCTCTTGCTGGTACTGATTAAGCATATATAGAAGGCCA